GGTAAGTTAGTTTCCCTTTCTGCTAAGTTAGAATGTTGGACCGGGTAATACCTAACCTAAGGCCTGGGTATTAATGCCCCTCCCAGCAGCTTTATTTCAGAGACAGTTTGGCCAACTTAAGTCCTCCAGGTACCTACTGCCTCCCAAGCATTCTTTATACAGTGCTCCATTGGGTCCCCAGCATAGCCTTGTCTTAGATACGCTGGAGAGATGCCACACCAATGCTCTGAAATGCTGGACTACTGCTGGTTCCTCTACTGGTAAAGGGCACAGCCAGGACTAAAGCCTGGGGCTGCCCATCCCAAACATCGTTTTTTCTTTCGAGCTGGCTTCCTCCATGATCAGTGGTCAGGAGAGTAAGTTTTGAGAAGGCACCAGGCTCAGTATTGGGAAAGCCCCACTGCTTCCCACCTGCAGCTCTCTGAGCCTCAGAGGTAGAACTATCCTTCTTGGCCTCATACTGACCTGTGACTTACAGAAAATCATTTAGCTTTTCTTTTTAAAAATAATCTGTTTAAATTTATTTTATGTGCATTGGTGTGAAGGTGTCATATGCCTTGGAACTGGAGTTACAGACAGTTGTGAGCTGCCATGTAGGTGCTAGGAATTGAACCTAGGTCCTCTTGCCATGTGAGTGCTGACAATGGAACCCAGGTCCTCTGGAAGAGCAGTCAGTGCTCTTAGCCACTGAGCCATTTCTCCAGCCCCTCATTTAGCTTTTCTATGCCTCAGTTTCCTAGCATATAAAAGGTAGTTATTTCACACAGTTTTCCCGAGGCTTGGAAAAAAAAAAAAAGCCTTGTAATATATTAGCATAGTCACTAGCAGTTAGGTACACTAAGCTAAATAGTCCTGCTGGGCCAGTCTTCCAATCCTGTTGTGAAGAACAGATGCACCAAACCATAAATAGTGTATTATAGACTATGGTGTGCTGTTTACATATGAAGGATCAGGATTCTAAGATCTGACCCTGGAGAAACAATTGAGGGCAGGAATAACAGGAGCTCTGGAGGAAAGTGAACTTGCTGCTTCCACACATCTTTTGTTCCTGAGTTTCCAGGTGCAGTTTTTTCCTCAAGGTCAGACTAGATTTGTTTGAGGGGACAGGCAACATGAGTTTGTAAAATTTTCAGCTCAACTCAATTACAAGGAAGTGGTAAAGGAAGTGGGAATTCCAAATGAAGCCAAATTACATGCATTGGTTTTACACCAGCAATTAAGTATGTTAAGGGGAAGGGAGAAAACAGTGATTTCACCCTTTGGAACTAGAACTGGGGTTAGTTGGCGGCACACACCTGTGTTGTATTAAGTTGTGGGATCAGTGGGTATAATTACAGAATTTAATTATAAATTTTGCCTTACCGGCATGTGCATGTATGGACCTACATATTGTAAATCCTTTCAAGATAATCTATTTAAAACAAAATCATGCCAATCTGGAGGGTCAGACACTCACTGAAAGGTCTGTAGTAGATCTCCCCGAGTAGGGAGGGGCACAGAATGTCTTTAATTTCCCGTGTGCTCTGAGTTAGAAAATACCACATTGTGTGTCTCTCTCTCCTTCTTCTCCTCCCCCTTTCTCTCTCCCACCCTCCCTCCTTCCCTCTTGATCCTTCTCCACCCACCCCCAGCAGTAGTGAACATCAAACCTGAGCCTGATGTGCACTAGGCAAATGCTCTATTCCTGAACTATAGCCTCTTCAAGGATTTCTTGGCTGCCTACAAGACAAATATTTCTTTAGAGAAACTTAGAGTCCCGTTAGGAATGACAGAGAATAAATAACCAGACAATTAGTTCCAAATGCTGCTGCATGCTGGGATGACATGGTGTGGTTAGTTTGAGAAAAACCGATGATGTAAAGGGAGGTGGTGACACAGGCTTCACCTGGGATGTTAGGGAGGGACACTCAGGCCCCATCTGTGAGGCCAGAAAGAGACTCTCGGGTAGAACCTGGGATGGAGAGTTCTAGGAAGAAGAGAAATCAAATGTATAACCAGGGTTTGGAGGCAGGGTGTTGCTCCGGCCTCCCTCTGCCTTTACAGACATCAGCCCCTTCTGTCTCTGTAAAAGTGTTTACAGTTAGGGATAACAGTGGTGGATGCTGCCAGTTCCCCCAGCTCCCCTAGAAAACATGACAAGTTACTGCTTTTGAAGCTTCAGGATGCCTAGGTCTTCCCCTGTCTCAGGCAGGTACCCTCTTGCCAGGATCCTTGTCTTTCTGTGGAGTTCTCTGGACTGCCATTTAGTCTCCTCCAGAGAAGGACCGCAGATGTGGCTTTGCATGCTCCAGGTCCTGAGTTCAATCCCCAATATCATAGAACATGAAGGTAAAACAGCCCTCTCCCAGCTCACATCCTCTCACAGTTGTGTCTTGCTCTTACCGTGCATAGGTCTGACCTGACCTATCTAGGGAGTGGATATGTTCCTCAAGAAATGCACAGGGGACTGAGTTTCCTTTTACAGATAAAAGGATTGGGAATATTTGTTTAGATTTGTATTTATTTGTATACATTTATATGTGTGTGTGCCATGTGTGTGCAGCACCTGTGGGGACCAGAAGAGGGCATTGGTACCCCTTGAACTGAAGTTACAGGCAGTTGTGAGTCACCATGTGGGTCCTGGGTGCCAAACCTGGGTCTTCTGCAAACTTCAAGTACTCTAAACTCCTGGGCCATCTCTCCAGCCACAGCTGGGGGACACTTGTATTAAATACTTTTGTCCAGTCTCACACCTTGGGAGGCAATGGAAGGAGCCTCCTTGATAGACTGACCCCAAGAACAACACTATTAATTGTCGCCATGTGGGCATCTAAACCGCAGAAGGTCATTTTTTTTTTTTTTTTTGGTTTTTTGAGACAGGGTTTCCCTGTGGCTTTGGAGGCTGTCCTGGAACTAGCCCTTGTAGACCAGGCTTGTCTCAAGCTCACAGAGATCTCCCTGCCTCTGCCTCCCGAGTGCTGGGGTTAAAGGCGTGCGCCACCACCGCCCAGCCAGAAGGTCATTTCTTATACAGGGTCTTTACTGTGTGCCAGACAGTGCCCTAGGCACAGGGAATGATGTGGACAAAATGACAGACACACCCCCTGATCTAAGGTTTACTAACAGGCAGGCCCCAGCCCTACATCTGCTGTTGATCCTCTGTTTGCCATCAGTATATACAATAGAAAATAGAGTGTGGATAATATGAGGTAATAAGTGCAGAAGTGCTTGGAAAAGCAGAGAGAAACCTAGCTGACCTTCTTTGCAGGCCTGTCTACAATCCTGGAAAAGAGCTAGAGCTTTGGGTATGCACATCTGTAGTTATTCAAAACTACCGCTAGATGTCAGTGGTGTGCAGGAGGGGAGGAGGACAAGTGGTGATGACCTTTTAGCCAGGTTGTGGAAAACACAAACTAAAGACCTTCTGTGTGCTAGATGCTGTCCTGCATACGGTGTATTTCTCATACCGTTTGATGCTTACAGAGGCCCTGTCATTTACATATTTCTATCCCTAGTTTACAGGTGAGGAAATGGGTGCTCAAAGTAGAGAGGGCTGCAAATGTCACTCAACTTTCCTTCTGAAGCCACCAGACAAAGATCTTGTTAGCAGCAAGTGTTCAGCCAGACAGTCCTCAGCTGCTGCTGATCCACTGTAAACAGTGTCTCCCCATATTGAGGGCAGCAAATGGCTGCACAGATAAATGAGAACAAAACATCCATGGATGCTTGAGAAGGGTACTGTACAGGTGCTCATTAGACAAAGGTGTGTTAGACAAAAGCCATGTCTTGTCAAGTACATTAGAAATCACAAAAGCTTTTTCTGGCTTAGGCTTGACATGAAGAATACAAAAAGGCCTCAGGAGACCCAGCTTTAAATGAGCATGTAGATAGATGTGCTGGATGCCATCCCTAAATAGCTAGGATCCAACAATAACCAGATCAGCAAGATATTCCCAAGGTGCAATAGTGGCACTTACATCCTGGGGTAACCAACAGCCATTGTACTTAAGGCCTGCTCAATAAAAGGGAACTCATGACTGGTACTGTAAATCTAACCAACTATCTGTGGCTAGTGAGGTCATAGACCCTAGAGGAAAACATAATACATACCAGTATACTGTTTACCTATATTCTAAATCCTTATATACGCAGATAAGTGTAGCTCTCAGTCCTCGTCAAAGAAGTTTGTTTTTGTAGCAGACAGATCATTCATAGAACAAACAAAAATTCACAACTGGTCAAAATGTAAGAACTGATTATGAGATGCCCAGCTCCGATCTACACATCTACAGCAACCCTCCCCCCAAACCTAAGTCTCGGGGAACATTACAAAAGAGGAGACAGAAAAAGTGCTAAGAGTCAGAAGGACAGGACATCTAATAATGACAGGGAAACTGAGCCCATGAAACCCCAAAAATGTGACTGCTTAAATAAGATCTGCACAACGATACCAGTTGACATGCCAGTATGAATAGGTGAAATCTCACAAGGCCCAGAAGGGGAGCTACAGGTAATTAATAGCTACTGAGAGGGGAAGAATTACTGCTTTTCCTGGACTAGCCCAACCTCCTAGAAGCTTATCCAATCCCAAGTAGTCAGCGCTAAACATGTACATAGGAATAATACTAAATGGACTCAGGAAGATGGATATATAATATATATTATATATCAGGTTATATAAAAAAGAGGAGCTTATGAATTTGAGATGGAATGGGGTCATGAGAGGAGTGGGAAACGGAAAAGTACTCATCTATGAAAATTAAATTAAAAAGAACTAGGGTCCTATACCAGGTTTTCTGGGGGGGACCACCAACCAGCTCCCATATCATGATATGGAGATTTCTTATTAGTTATGAATGCTTGGCCTTGCTTAGGCTCACTTCTTGCTAGTTCTTATAACTTAACCTGTCTCTTTTCATCTACATTTTGCCTCAGGTCTTTTTACCTTTGTTTCATTCTGTATATCTTACTTTCTGGTTGGTGGCTGCCTGGCTTCTTGCCCTGACTGTGTCTCTTTCTCCCTTCTTCTCTCCTCCTCATTTTCTCTTATTTATTCCCTCTGCCTGGAAGCCCCGCCTATCCCTCTCCTGACTAGCTATTGGTTGTTCAGCTCTTTATTAGACCAATCAGGTGCCTTAGTCAAGCAAGGTGAAACACCTTTACATCTTTACATAACTAAGCACACATCCTTACATTGTTAACAAATGTAACATAAATAAATGTAGCACAGCCTTACACAGTTTAAATAATATTCCTCAGCATAAACAAATGTAACACATGTGTTAAATAATAATATTCCAGTTAAAATAATATTCCACAACAGGGTACAGATCCTCCCTAAGCAATCCCTAAGAAGATACTGAAAGTTAAAGAAAAAAGTGGGAGAAGGTTCAAAGTCAAAAATCAAACAAAGACAATATGCATGTAGTAACTTTAAATAATTCTGGAAATCAAACAACAGGCCCTTGTGAGCTGGGGAAATGGCTCACAGTTAAGAGCACACACAGCTACTACAAAGCACTTGAGTTTGACTAGCAATACCTGCATTGGGCAGCTCACAACTGCCTATAACTGCAGCTCCAGGGGACTCTGTCACCCTCTCTGAACTCCTGAGGTACCCTCACACATGTGCAGATATCCAGAAAAGCATACACACACAACTAAAAATAAAATAAATGATGACATCATGGCAAAGGCAAGGAAGACACTAGGTTTCTGCTCTCAAGACCCATGGACCTTCAGTTTGGACCCTGAACCATGTGAGAATGACCTACAGAATAGGATGTGCCACAAAAGCCTATGGAGAGGCCTTGAAAAGAGCAGAAGAAACAGACTAGGCCTGATTCCTATGGACAAAAATCCTAGAATCCCTCTCTTGGACTGAGCTCCACCCAAGGGACAACCCAGGTGATACCTGCTGCAAACCAATGACCTTGGAGCTGGCTAGTCAATGTGGTCACACAAATAGAGGGGGGAAAGGCTCAGAGGACCTGATAGCAAGAAGTCTCTGTAATGCCCAGTGGCACCTACTAGGAAGTAGGTTTGGGCAAGGCAGAATAAACACTTACATTTGTCCTTGTTGAACTCTGTGTAAGGCAATTTCTACATGTTACATCCTGTTTGAGGTCAGACAGTGAACTGCTAAGGGGCTCTTCCTGTCCTTACTTGACAGATGAGGAAAACCAAGGGGTATTCATGGTTTCCCCAAGTTTGGGTGCTGGAATGAAAATCCTGGTTTTTCTACCTGCCATGTCATGCCCATTTCACATTGGCATTGTCCAGAGATGCTGATAAAGTTGCTAATGTCTATGGCTCTGAGGTCCAGCATGTTGGCCCTGCTTTGTACATCAAAACTCTGAGGGCCTACAAGGCACATGGCATGCCTAGCATGACAGAGAGGGGACTGTATGCAAACTGACACTTTGGTACACTAGTCAGGTGCGCTTTCCGCTCCTCTTCTTTGCCAGAGTGGGGGTTGCCCCTGTTCCAGGAGAGTGGGAGCCTATTCTGATGGCCTGTCACCAGGCTGCCTTCAGGGTGAGTCCTCCTCAGGCACAGGCTTGGGACGAGCCATCCATGGCTAAGGGCCTGCTTTGGAAAGCAAGTTCTCTGACTTATGCTGAGTGGAGCCTGGGCACAAGCAGGTGCCTGACTGGGAGCACATTCCTGGGGCTTAATGAGCAGCTGTGGGGGAGGAGACAGGAGCATCTAGGGGTAGAGCTAAGCGATCATCTAGGAGGAGGGGTAGCCTGGAGAAATGAGCCTGGACTGGGAGTGATATGATCCCATGGTATCTATGAAAGATGACTATCACTGGCCAGGAGATGGGATGGAGGCCTCACAGAAGACCCAGGATGAGACCCAGGATGAGGCTATGGAAGGCAGCACATAATGACACTTGGGCAGGCCACCACAAGACAGCAAACAGCCCTGGGGACAGAGGATCCTGTGAGTTGAGAACTATGCATGTACCTGGGATTCTGCCGAGTCCTCCCTTGGAGCCTTTGCTAGCTGTTGGAAAGAACATTTCCCTTCTTAGTGATGTTTATGCTGCCAGATGAGTAGAGCTTGGCCCACTGTCATAGTTTATACTTATCTGTTTGGGTTTTATTTTCTTGTGGTCTGTTGATTCCTAATTCTAAATCAATTGGTGTTAATTTTTCAAGGCTTCTTAAATGGTTTCATATTCGGGTTTTAAGAAGGATGTGTGAATATGATCCCTCCCCATGCCACCCCCATCAGTGGCTAAGAAATACCATCATCTGGATCCTCAGTGTGGTCACTGGCAGCCAGGTGATTCTCATGGTCATTGTTTGGAACTGTCCTGCCAGTGCCACCCAGCTTGTTGTTTGGTCTCTCCTCAACACAAGATGCTGCTTGTAAATGCACTTTTAGGATCCTTTGATTTATTTTGAAGGGTTAGGGGGACATTTTTGTTGTTGGTTGGTTGGTTGGTTGGTTGGTTTGGATTTGTTTTTAAGATAAAAAAAATGGAGGAAATTTCATTTTCTAAACACATGTTCTGGAAGAAGGAATTTGGACTATCAGGCCACAGAGAGGAGGAACAGCTGGCTAGGGCTGCACTGTTCAAGAAAGCCAGAAAGGAACCTGCAATTGAAAGTGCAAAGAATTCTGGGTTATCTGGGCTTCCAGGGGAAGAGACCCCAGTGATGATACAGTCCCTCTCTGCCAACCTTAGAACCCAAGGAAGGAACAACTATGCCTGGAAAGCTCCTGGCCTAGGAACAAGGGTATGGGCAGAGGAAACAGGCCCCCAGGACCATCTCCACCATGTACTCCATGCCTACTGTGCAGGACTAGTGTCTGCCTCTGGCAAGTCAGCCTGCTTCTGTTTCCCTATCTGTGAAATGGGGATAACAGAGTCCTCACAAGTCCTCTGTGAGGACTTGGTGTAATGATAAAGAAGGAAGCTACTTTTTTAGTTAGCATGAGCTTAATGAATAGTACAGTCATTGCTATTACTTGATGCATTGTTGAAATCTTTTAAAATGTTTTAATAATTAGAACTTTATTATAAAGAAAGTACAAGTAAAATCCACTCAGTGAGATTAGCCAGGCCCAAAGTTTAAACACTGATATCTTATTAATCATATCCAGGGCCAAATTAAGTGTGTGTGTGTGTGTGTGTGTGTGTGTGTGTGTGTGTGTGTGTGTACACTTACACAAGAACTGGTCTTCCAAGAAAAGGGATTTAAAAGTGTGAGAAAAGAGCAGATTGTTCCCTTAGAGACCAGAATATCCTGGGAAAATGTCTATAAGTTGCTGAAACTATTTTAGAATTGCCAGAATATTCCAAGGAACAGAGGAAAAGTCAGCCAATGGCCCAGCTGTGGGCTTTACTAGGCTGTAGGTCCATATGTTTGGCTAGGTCTGGTCTTCTGGCATCAAAGCCATGCTGAACAGGGGACAGATCCCAAGGAATGGCTGCCCAGACAGCTGCTTGCTATCTTCAGAGCTGAGCACAGGGAAGGCTAGAGGACATGGAATTGATTCTTTCCAGCTTCGGATGGACATAAAGAAGACCCTTGGTAACTTACCAGGTGTCTGTCTGTGAGGACAAGCTCCATCTGGATGTCTCTGTAACAGTGGAACCAATGCTGTCACCCCAGCATTTGTCATCACAGTATCCTCACTCTGTTGAGTCAACAGAACTTTCTTCATCCTATTTCCTTACTGGATCTGATGGGATGGAAGCAGGGCCACTGCGATCTTGAACTTTTGCCATTTGCTTACCTTGGACCAATGTGATGCCAGATGCTTCATGGGAATAGTCAGTTACCTGGGTTTGGTAGCTAGGCAGAACCAGATGCAGATCCAGAGAGGTTCCTCATGGAGAGTCACAATGCTAACTCACACAGCTCTAAGAAGCACTGGTGACATCTAGATCCAAACTCAGATTTTAGTGTCCACGCTTGCAACCTCTACTGTGTGTGTTTATTTCCTGGATGTGAGACACCCTCTGGACAAAACAGCAAAGAGATGGCATCATATGGCACACAGAAGAACTTCATTGGGTTAACCCAGGATAGCCCTTTTGTAGAGGCTACAGTGCTGCAGTGAAAGCATAATGGGGCTAGGAGATAATGCAGCTGGGCTGAGCTCTGGTGCTGTCGTGCATGAGCTGTGAGTCATAAATCCCTCTGAATTCCTGCAAACCAGAAGGAAATGTCTACTTTTCTGAGCTAAAAAGAAATAATGATAACAGGATGGCCTAGTGCCTGCTGGGCAAATGGCAAGTGGTGCCACAGTTGCAGAGAACTGAGAGAGTTAGGGCTTTGTTGAACCCTAGGGGGTCTGGTCCCTCACTGCATGGAGATGTGATTGGTCCTCTGGAGGCCTAGGCTAAAAGAGGCAAGCAGCTTCCCAACTCTCCTATAGGCTGCAGGCTGCAGGCCTGGCGTTGGCCCTGGCATCAGAACTCATCCTATTTTCTCAATGTTTCAGGACCTGATGCCTCAGTCTTCATTCACCCCTCAGTACAGTATGTGGGACAATGTAAGGGAGCCTGCTGACTGTTCTCCTTGATCAAGAAAGAATGACCAAATTTGGGATGTTGGGCAGGGAGATGAAGGCAAAAAGAAGTGTGTCCTGGCTGACTGCCTCTCACCCCTTGGGATACCACTTACCCTCCTGAGCTGTTGTCTGCATATTTAAAAAGATGGTCCAAGCTTCTCTAAAGGATTCCCATGATAACTGAAGGCTGGCTGTTCTAATGTCTACCTACTAATGTCATAGGTAGCTCTGCAAACAACCAGGGCCCCACATCCAAAGTCCTGAGGCCAGGACTCCTCTGCCCCTCCACCTTCCAGTAAATTGAAAAATGGGCTTGGCCAGGGACACCCTCCCCTGTGGGACACAGCTGACTCCAAGCCCTCAGGAGAGCAGATGGAATAGATCTGGCCTATTCGGCTGGGTCCCGCCTCAGATCTTTTGACCCATCTCTAGTCAAAAGCTCAACTTGGGACTGGGGCAGGCACAGATCTGGGACAGCCTGGAGCCATCAGCAACCTTGTAAATCAGACCCAGCCTTTGAAGCTGCTGCAAGCTCCCTGGGGGAGCTGAGAAGCCCCAGCCCAGCCTGTGAGGGGAGGCCTCAGGAAGAATGAGTTTGCCCTATGACCTGCCTCCCAGGCCACAGAAAGAAGCAGAGGTGCCCGGAAGGGAGAGCCACCTCCCGCTGGACCTAGGTGGAAACTATCATCCACAGCCCGCCCCTGTGGAATTTGGTTTTCCTCATAGAAAATATCCAGTTGATTCTTTCAGAAATGAATAAAGGAAAGACACTTCCAAAATGGCCCCTTGAAACAGAGATGAGGTAGACGGATCAGGGTCCTCATTCCAGCTTTACCATGCCCCTAGCGGCATGACCTTGGACACGTGTTTGTCATATGCCTGTATTTCACTGTCTTATTTGCCACCTGAGAGAGACAACCAGCTAGCAGAGGTCGGACTCACTGTACAGTGACAGTTGTTCATACTTGAAAAAGGTTCTCTTCCCCCATTCCTTTCTGCTTCTTCAAGCCAAACAGGAGACAAGATGTTTGGTTCCTTGTGCTAACTTGTCAGGTAGGGACTCATGAATTATTCTATGACCATACCAAGCTCCTAGACCACCACAGTCTATGCTTGGCCACTCTCCATATGTGCCTGCTGCACTCATGATATGTAACTAATACTATTGAAAACCTTAATGTTACCTTAATTGCAATTAGAAATCTAAGTCTAACCATTATGTGTTGGTGATGGCTACTATGGTAGACAACCCAGGCCTTAACCACAAAGACAAGAAGACCTGATTCAGCACTGGTTCTTCTGACAAGCCTAATTACCCTCCACACCTCCTGTTTCTTCATCTGTGAGGTAAAGGCTGTGGGTGGAGTCAGCACTGAAGTGTTTCATTCCATCCACACCTGTAGATATTCAAGGGTCTGTTATGATTAGTAATGATTTGCTTCGTTGAGAGAAAGGGCAGTGCTAGATAAGGCAGGAGCCCAGTTTGGGACAACCATCACATTAAACAGATCAGCTCCTATCGTTGTGCCCAAATTCTGAACCCCAAAATCAACAAAAGGCCCATTTTGATGCAAAAGCAATGAGTCTTTTATTGCAGGTGTTTAATGAGCTAACCCCATTAGCTAGGGTCTTTCATCCACCCACCACTGCCAATGGCTGGGGAAAGACCCCAAGAAACCACAGGACAGAGATCTTATAGGGCAGCGAAAGGGGAGTGTCTAGGGGTACACACAGGCTCAGGATTAGTGCACCTCCAGTCTTGGAGGACCTGCCCTGTGTTGATTAGTTAACTGGTTGTTATGGCCTATAGGACCACCCAGGGTGGTTGCTATGTTCTGTATGTCACTGCTGTGCTCTTGTCCATAAAGCACACCCAGAGCCATAAAGCATAGCCCTGCTAGCTAACTTCTGATTGGTCCCTTGCCATGAGGCGAGCATCTGACCTCCTAGTGACCAAGGCAAGTTCAGGCAAGCACGTGTGTTAGGCTGTTATGGCTGCCAAAACGGGGAGCTGGTCCCTTCACTATGATATAGATGAGGGTACAGACCCAATCCTGTCCCCAGTGTTCTCTCACCTCCAAGGTACCCTATTCTAGCTCGAGCCCTGTTCTTTTCTCTGACTGTGTCTAGTGCTTCTTAGGCCCCCAAGATCTTTCCCTACGGTGCCACAATGTTTTCAGAATCAACATCTCATCATGTTTTCTGTTACATCAGCTTGACCTTTAGAGTTTGCCACAAGACAGCATCTGGTTGGAAGCTGAAGCTGTCACCCACGATAGATGGCATCTCAGGTAGTATGGAGAGGCCACAGAGATATGGGGAGCAGAAAGAGCAAGTGGGGCTATGCAACCACCCTGAAGCCTGTTTTGAAGTCTTGTCTGTCAATGCAGAGTTCCACCACGGCCATTTGACCTCACATTTGTGATAAGGAAATAAGTGTTATCAGCCACTTCCCTCTCAAGTTCCTTCCACCAGTGAGTTTCCTTTTCCATCTTATTGTCATGTGATTACCAGTAGCTGCAATGGAGTCTGAGAAATTGAATAGCTGGCAAACAGGGACTAGGCAGGCTTGTCTTACATGTCTTACTTGCCTTAGACAAATTTGGTTTAGTCTGGGAAAAGTGAGTTGACAATGATTCTTGGATTTAAAGAATCCTGTCTGCCTTTAAAACCACTGGTACAATTAATATAGTGTTTTCTAAATTGCCACACACTTTTCAAATTTGTGATTCTGTGTGTTTCTCAAGATTGTGAACAACACAGAAGTTGTAATCCTCATAATATGGATAAAGAAAATGAGGCTGTTCAAAGCAGAGTAACTTACTCTGGAAACAGTGGATTCTGCTGGGCCACCCAGTTTTCCACATTCTTAATCCCTCCACTGAGCTGGAGGAGAAACCTCAGAGGGGGCAGCAAACAGGAGTTATTTATATTTATACCCCAAATAGCAGCCTTGGTGGCCTCGCACAAAGTAGGTGTTCAGCAAATCTTTGCTGGTAATAATGAGCTACTTTGTTTATTGAAATGATGGACAGTAGATCCATTCATATGACTATGGTTTCTGAAAACACTGTTTAGAAGCCAGGGGCTATCCCTCAGGGAACAATAAATGGAGGAGGGGAGATGGTTTCTTTGCCTCAAAAAGGCTTTGGGTTAGTAAACATCTTATTTACAGATCTGTGCTGAGAACATGTGTTTGTACTCACAACTCTGGCAGTCTTTCTGACTGAACTGGGTGTTCCCAAGGCAATCTCTAAGTCCCATCTGCACCCTGAGGGCCTAGAGAAGTGGTTCTCAAACTTGCTATTGCTGCAGCCCCTTAATACAGTTCCTCATGGTGTGGTGATCCCCAGCCATAAAATTATTTTTGTTGCTACCTCATAACTGTAATTTTGCTATTGTTATGAAATGTAATGTAAACATCTGTGTTTCTCAGTGGTCTTAGGTGACCCCTGTGAAAAGGGTCTGTGACCCACAGGCTGAAAACCAGTGGCCTAGATGCACAGGATATGGAATAATGGATGTGAAGGAAAGAGAAGGCACATCCCTGCCTCCTTCTTGGACTCACCATATTTGTAACAAGGCAGACACCTGCATAAGTAGCTGACCAGCTGCAGGGCCCTGAGCTCTGGGAGAGAGGAAGCTAGGCCTCAAGGGTCATGTGGAAGGGAAAGGGAAGTTGAGGAAACCCCAAACACATGGGAGTCTGTCTTTCAAGGATTTAGCCGCCAGTGTGAAGGAGAGATATTCTAGGCAGAGGGCAGTGTGTGTGCAAGATGAAGGAGAGGCGAAGTGGTCAGGATAGAGTGGCATTAAGGGTGGTACATTTGAAAACAGGGTAGAGAGGATGTGGGCAGGTAACAGCAGGTGTTAGGATTGAGGGGTCACAGAGGAATCCTGAAGATCTAATTTCAGACAAGGCTTGAGGAGCTCCGAGGTGGAGCCTGAGACTCTGCATCTCTGACAGGCTCTCAGATGCTGCAGCTGTAACTTGTCTGTAGAGTAACAAAGCCACCAAAGATTGGGCCAAGCTAGTTCTTCTCCCATTTAGCTGGATGGGAGCTACTGCAGGAGCATGAGTAAACCTAGAGTGCTAACTAGCTCCTAAAAGGTGGCCAATATACACACATGGAACAAATCAGCTGTCATTCATGATAGAGTTCTTAAATGGGAAAAGGAATAATGAAGGGTTCAGTTATCCTGGCTGAAAAGCCAATGTTCTGTATGGCTCTCGCTGAGGCCAGGCCAAGTCACTATGAAAATGGAATGGCTTTGCAGCTTGTTTTTAACCAGGCATCTGACAATACATGTGAAATTCCAGAAAGACACATATGAAAAGTAATTTAGTGCCCACCCAGATTAGCCCAGAGATGGGGCCCTGGAGCCAATAGTCTAGTCCTCTTATCTCCCCAACACCAGGGACTGGCAAATGCCCACTGCCTCCACCTACCTCTCACAAGGATCAGTTTTCCTGAAAAAGCCAGGCTAGCTCTTCTCCCATTCAGCTGGATGAAGCCACCCTACAGCAGGGGCTCAGGTGTGGATTGGATATGTCTGCATTGGTTCCCTGACTAGATAGCATGATACTACCCGATAGAACCATGAAAACCCCATTTGCGTATCCCATGGCATATGCAAACTAGTTCAAATGAGGTCCTTAGGAAAGGGAGATTTGAGGTAGATGGCTGATGCAGCAAGTCCCAAAGACAAGGGAGGCTTGAACTCACTGAACCCTTCTCTCCTCCCAGGCAGCAAACAAAGTGTGGCAACAGAGCATACAGGAGACAAAATTCATCTGTAGCATATACATACTCAGTATAACATTTGAGGGTTCAAATCCCAGCTGTTCAATTTTAGAAAAATCCTCAGTGTCTCTGGGTCTTGGCTTCTCATTCATAAAAGGACGATGGCTGGTCTTGCCTTTAGAGATGCACACTGCAGAGCACTAGATGCGTGACTAGATGCAAGCGGAGCTTTTCAAACTCTCCCCAGACACTGCCTCTTCCGGCTCCCAGCCTGTTTCTCTTCTGCATAAGTGTCTGCACACTGTTGCATTTAAGCAGGAAGCATCAGTCACGCTGACAAATCTCTGTGCCCCCAGGTGGTGTTTCTAACCAGTTAGAGGTTTGGCATTTATTCTCAACTGCTTGTTGTTATATTTTTCAAATAACCAAGTATTTAAATACCATCAGCCTGAATGCTTCTGCAGATTTGTAGCCCTTGTCCTGCATCAGGGAAATCCTCCCATAGGCTGTGGTAAAAGAGGCAATATAGCCTAGGGAAGGAACTCCAGGACTCAGAGAAAAAGATCAAATCCCAACTCTACCTCTTACCAGCTACATGACCTGGGGCAAGTCATTTCACCTGGTGAAGGCTTCACTTCCTCAATGGGAATAACACATATTTTTGTTGTACAGTTTCAAGGCCACATATACCTGCTGGTGTGGCACACCCTAAACCTCTCCAGATATACACCTTAATCATATCCAAGTTGTGACTCAAAACATTGAGGTTCACTGTATAACCCTCTGGATATGATTTCCCTTCAAAGGTGGGGAGACACCATGAGGAGATGGTTTAGTCTACAAGGTGCTTGCTTTGCAAGTGTGAGGACTTGGTTTGGCTTCCCAGAACTCATGTAAAACTCTTAACAAGTGTGGCAGTGCATGCTTGCAATCCCAGCACTAGGGAGGCAGAGAGGAAGATCTCAAGTTTTCTGGCCAGACAGACTAGTTTATTGGGTGAGCTCCAGGCCAATGAGAGACCCTATCTCAAATGTAAGTAGATGCTGCCTGAAGAATAAAATGCAAAACTATCTTCCATCCCCCACCAAATTCACCTACCCATATACCCCATCCATATATGCTTGCACCTTCACACACATGAACACACCATACACATACACAAAAACCTGGAGTGGTATAGAACAAGTCCTTGCTCACCAGTTATGGAGTTTCTGTAAGAAAGTAAGGATGCGACAAGCAAGCATCACCAGGTGGTCAGTAAGTAAAAGCCACCATTTGGGTGATGATTTGTACATTCTAGGTAATCTAAAGGTAGCTAGCATAGCATGACTAGCAGTTCTGGGTCCAGGTAAGGCCTCAGCCTAGTATATTCTCAGGGTGGCCTGGACCATCTGGCAATGTGTAGCCAATGTTGTCATAGGTTTTGACTGTTAGGTCTACACATTATCTAGAAGAATCATTGGCCAGGCTCTTCTCAGTTCTTTCTTCACCCAAGACTCACCTAAGCATCCATTTCTTGAATTCACGGGAATGGGAAGAGACAGGACTTAGCAGCCCTGCCTCCACCCCCGCTGAGCCATAGCAGAGGCTCATCTCAGGAAGGTCTAGGCAAATTGGGCCAGTGTCCAGCCACCTGCCCTGCATGTGAGGTAAAGCATTGGCCTGCTGTGCAGAGTGGAGGGGGCAATAATCCTATTTTTGGAAGCTGTCTTGGAGTGGGCACAGAGCCTAAGCCAATTAAAAACTCCTCTTTGAAGGTGGCTCCAGTTTCCCAGAGAGGACGAGTCTGCACAGTGACCTGGGGTAATCGCTGGCTCCCTCTCCTCCCTGTCGGCCCAAGCTGGAGGAGACCAGGGGCTTTGCTGGGAAGGCACCATCACTTTGTGCCTCCATAGGGCCTGTCAGACCATGGTATAGATCATCAGCAAAGTAGGACACTAGGAATATTGAAATTCCAGGACAAGGAGGAAGGCAAAACCCAGATGATCTACCATGGCTCATGGCTACCAAGTTCAAGGATGTGATTCAAACCAGACCATGCCTGCTCAAAATCATTGTCTAGATCCTTGTCACATTGTATTTCACCACTGATGAGGAAATATTGTAGGTTCCCAATAGAGATTTATTTTGTGACTAAATGAATATGAATGAATAAGTACAGCTAAACAGAGTAATTTGTATCTTACCCCAAGGATGAGAGGGTAAAGAAGGCTAAAACTGAAAACGAGCTACAGCGAGAGCTTTGCAGTGAAGATGAGAACCAGACGATCCCATAGCTGGGAAAACTGTTCAGCCCAGAAAGTGTTAGCTTTGTAAGCACAAGGACCCAAGTTTGTTCCCTGGGACCCACATTGAAAATAATAATAGTAGTAGTAGTAGTAATAGTAGTAGTAGAAGGAGGAGTAGTAATAGTAAAAGCATTGATGTGGGGGCTGGAGAGAAGGCTCAATGGTTAAGAGCACTGGCTGCTCTTCCAGAGGTCCTGAATTCAATTCCCAGTAACCACATGGTGGCTCACAACCATCCATAATGAGATCTGGTGCCCTCTTTTGACCTGCAGGGATATATGTAGACAGAACACTGTACATAATAAATAAATCTTAAAAAATAAAGTTTTCTTAAAAAAAAAAAGCATTAATGTGTACTATGGATCCTGATGCTGGGGAAACAGAGACCAGAAGTTCTTGGGGGGTCACCAGTTGGCCAACATAGCCTACTTTGCAAGTTCCAGGCCAGTAAGAGACCCTGTATCAAAAACTGAGGTGAACAGTGTGGGTGGACAGTTCCTAAGGAATAACATCACATCACATCCACACATATGTGCATATTCCTTACACACACACACACACACACACACACACACACACACACACACACACACCGGGTGGAGGGGAACCTGCCAAGTGTCAGCTGTGGTCTGCTCCGCTAGAAGTGCTTTGCCTCATTAAATCACTAGCCCCTCCCCAGCAGCCCCACTAGGAAGGTAGAATTAGTGTCTCCACTTTGAAGAGAAGGAGGAAAGTGGGAGGGTTGAAGGAGTGAGTGTCATTGTACACCATAGGGCACGACAGAGCAGGATGTGAACCCTGACCAGAGTGAGGGTTCTCAATGGCCACAGGTTTCTCTCTTAAGGGATGGATGGGTGGTCTGTTAAAAATATTGCCAGATAAATGGAGGTTTCTGCTGCTTAGCAAAGGCAGGCTCAGCCCCTGTAATCCAGCCTGCTAAAGCCAAGTGGCTCACCCCTCTCCCTCTCCTGCAGAGCAACCTCCAAGGCTGGCACCATTAATTGAGGTTAACAACCCAAAAGGGCAGAATTGATGGAGTGACGGGCAGCATTTCTTAATGAAAACAAATTTAGGTCTATGATCAAGAGAACAAAGTCCCCAGGAAGCCAGGCTGCTGTGACCCAAGTGTAACATTAGACAATGGAGGGGCAAGGGCCAGAGCTTCCCCACTGAGGGGACAGATTCAAGACCCTCCTGAAAAGCAGAGCCACCACAGCCACCCAGGGGGCAGTTCACAGGAGCTCATGGAGATAACGGAGGGCTACAGCATGGTCTTGGTGCCTGATGGCTGCTGTAAAGGTAAACACCATCTCAGGTACAGTTGGGCTTCTTGGGACGGCGTGGTTAAGGGCGTTCTGAGAGGATCACTTCTGTAGAGTAAGTAGAGGGGTTGGATAGGGCAAAGGGACACAGGCATCTGAAACTAGTCCCTCCTTCAGCCTGTCCTAGAGCTGAGGAAGGACAGTGCTGTTCTGGGTTGGGTCTGCAGGATGGGAGCCATGTTCCTAGGTCTGAATGTGTTGGATGATACAAGTCCTGAAACTGTCCTAGAGCTGAGGAAGGACAGTGCTGTTCTGGGTTGGGTCTGAGGATGGGAGCCATGTTCCTAGGTCTGAATGTGTTGGATGATACAAGTCCATGCAGGACCTCAGCTAACAGGCATCTTGGGTCCTAAGCAGTGGGATTCTTGCTGGTTCACTCCTGCTCCAGCTGGGAGCTTGTTTTGGTCAGAATCCTCTTAGCATAGAGATTGGCATTCCTTAAACATATGGAATTCATCCAGCAACATTCCCTCCTAACTGTGGGGTAGTTACTCATTTCCTCATCTGTCTCGCCCTCGGGATGCATGGAAAATTTAAGGGCAGACCTTTGCACCCTGGGTTAGAAGAACAGAGCTTCACCAGTGCCCAGGCCCTGCTAGCTATGCATCTGGGTAGCAGGGTCCTTTTCCCTGGGTGTGGGTCTTCTGTCTGAGACAGCCCAGCTACTCAGAGACCTTGCATATTTATCCAGTTAATCAATCATTACATATTAAGTGCCTACTGTTTAAGGGGTTTGGGAGCACACAGTTGGGAGCATATGGTTAAACAGTTACTTATAGACTAATGCCAATATGAGCAGTAAACTATGGAAGAGGTGCAGGGTGGTGGTAGGTTAAATCACACCAAAACGAAGGAGAAATGTACAAGTTCTACAGTGCTGGTTTTAACCTGAATCGTCTGAGTCTCACTCAGTCTCCTCACTTCTAGTAAGGAAATTATAGTCATGTTTTATAGCAATTTCTCTTTACCATGTAACATGCCACCCGAAATCTAGTGGCATATTACACTAGTCTTTCATTGGTTCTTACTCATTGGTTCTGAAGGTCAGTGATCTGGGCCAGGTGGAGCTGGGTAGGTCAGAGCACTTGTGGGTTTATACATGTGGCTAAATCAAGTAAGAGCTTGTTTTTCAGCTCTGGGTCTTGTTGCAAGATCCAAAGCTCTTTGTATCACACAAGGGTCTTCCCTGCCTCTGCTTTGAGTTTCCTATTAGTCTTTGGTCCACAAGATGGAAGACACATGGCTAACACCCTAGAGGCAGAGTTAGTGTGCACAGAGTTTGAATACAAGAGATGGAATTCCTTGGAGTTGCTATTGTAGCTGTCTGCTAGCATGCCTAGGTTCCAGGGATGTCTTGGAGATTTAGGAAGATTTACAAGATGTCATGTCTGTGATGTTTGTGTTAATACACAGGGTTGGATAAATATGAAGCCGAGCCACTTGCTTTCTTCTTAGGGAAAAAGATATTGCTTAGAAAGTAAGTGGCATATAAAGTGTCTTTGTGGCTAGAAATCATAAGATGTCAGAGTTGTCTGTGGTAATGAGACTCATCAGACTTTGTCACTGTCCATCCTGGCATTATAAAGATGACATGGAGTCTAAAGTCATACCTCCCTGAATGTACCTGGTGTCATCTGATCTCAAAATAGTAATATTGACCAAAATTAACCTTTTCCTCAGAGGAAGATTGGCAGAAAGGACAAAGGGGGAGGGGAGTTGATAACAGAACCAGACAATGGAACAGACATATTCAT